CTATCCAAAGGCGTGTTGTGTAGGGGTTGGGGAGATAGGTCAATGTCCTACTACTGTATTGTTTTCCTACAGGGTTCTACTTCCTGCTAATTCCAAATGAGGGTCTTCAATGGGGAGTTCTAAAACATATAAAATGCCCGGCTTTACATACACTAAAAATGAAATGTAGACCATAAATTCAGCAACTGGTCAACCAGCTGGGTCCTAACTTACCATAGGGGGATAGTCCATGATACGTATAACAAACTCCATCTCTTCTGAGATCTGGACAATCCCAGTAATGTGGAACCTTGTTGGGAGGTATGAGCTAGAAATCTACATTAAAGAGGCTTTATGTTTAGTCCTAGTCATGGTTCCAATAGTTTGAAAAGTTTATGTGATCAGTAAGTACCACCCCAGACCCCCAGCTCTGCAGAAATTGAGATGATTGCCTTTACGAAGCTAAAGTTCACTGTTATTTTAGGGGCCACTTTGTGTCAAACACAGAAACGGTTATTTCCAGGACTCTCTGAAACCTACCACTCCTGTCAACTCCGGGAACAGAGAAAAATATCCTTTTAATTATTAATACGGGTGTTAAAAATGTCATAGTGAGTATTACATGGATAAGTCTCCAGTATACACAAACGGGCCCATCAACCATAACTGATTACCTTTGGGTGTCAGAGATTTGAGACAGACTTATGAATTTTTAACCTCACAGCCGGATAGATTTTATTACAGTCTCACGGATAAAAGTCAACATTCTCCGGCAAGACTGTAGCCTGTGGGCCACCAGGCCCAAGAGCTGATTAGGAGATTGTTCATTGGCATCTGTGCAGACGTCCTGTGTTCCCAGTTAAGGCGGATCTATCATTAAAATTCACACGAATCGACAGGACACCTGTTGCCATTACTTAATAATACTCTAATGTCGAGCAAAAAAGAAAAAAAAAAGCCCCTCTGTCTAGCGATGGATAAAAAAGGAAATGCTTCGTCCAAGCTCTTTTGTGTGACCTAAAGCCAAGGTAGACTAGATCACATGGTCACTGGCCACCATGTGCGTTGTGGGCATTTCATGTCATTATGGATAATAGATAACACAATGACGTTGTAACTGAGACAGACCCTCTCCGGTAGATATTAGGATCAGCATGGCATAACCATTGTGCAGCACCACTAAAGCAGGAAGCAGAACCTGCATATGTAATGTGCCTGCCCTCGGTTCACATATATGTAATCTAAAATCACTCACTTTTGTTTTCTACCCTGCAAATCCCATGTGGTTGCATTTGAACAGCAATCCATTTATCATGTGATTTTACATCAGCTGTGTTTTTGAATCTGCTGGCTCCATCCGTCTGTGCTTCCTTTCTTCCTTCCTTCCTTCCTTCCTTCCTTCCTTCCTTCCTTCCTTCCCTCCTCCTCCTTCCTTCCTTCCTTCTCCTTCATTCCGCTCTCCCTCTCTCCTCCCCTCCCTTCCCTTCCTTCCTTCCCTCCTCCCCCTCCTTCCTTCCTTCCTTCCTTCCTTCCTCCCCCTTCCTTCCTTCCTTTCCTTCATTCCGCTCTCCCTCCCTCCCGTCCTTCCCTTCCTTCCTTCCTTCCTTCCTTCCTTCCTTCCTTCCTTCCCTCCTTCACTCTTTCCCTTCCTTCCTTCCCTCCCTCCTTCCCTTCCTTCCTCCTGCTCTCCCTCCTTCCCTCCCTTCCCTTCCCTCCCTCCTGACCTTCCTTCCTTCCTTCCGCTCTCCCAACCTCCCTTCCTCCCTCCTCCCTTCTTCCTTCCTTCCTTCCCTTACTCCTCCTGCTCTCCCTCCCTCCTTCCCTCCCTTCCCTTCCCTCCCTCCTGACCTTCCTTCCCCTCCTTCCCTCTTTCCTTCCCTCCTTCCTTCCTTCCTTCCTTCCTTCCTTCCCTCCTTCCTCCCTCTCTCCTTTCTTCCTTCCCTGTAAACTGATACATCTGGAAGAGATCTTGTTATTTTGAAAAACAACAGACTTACTGGCTGGATCACCAGATGAAAATAGAAGAAAGAAAGTCTGAAAAAAGAAAATAATGCAGCCATCACATCTAAGAATTGGTAAGCTGCAATATACTAAATGATTGCTTTTGGGTTTTGTACTGCTTTAAAATGAATTGATAAGGTTAAAGTGTTCCTAAACCCCGGACCCCGCATTCACTATATCTGGTCTCCCCGGACCCGGCATTCACTATATCTGGTCTCCCCGGACCCCGCATTCACTATATCTGGTCTCCCCGGACCCCGCATTCACTATATCTGGTCTCCCCGGACCCCGCATTCACTATATCTGGTCTCCCCCCCGGACCCTGCATTCACTATATCCGCTCTCCCCCGCATTCACTATATCCGCTCTCCCCGGACCCCGCATTCACTATATCCGCTCTCCCCGGACCCCGCATTCACTATATCCGCTCTCCACGGACCCTGCATTCACTATATCCACTCTCCACGGACCCCGCATTCACTATATCCACTCTCCCCAGACCCCGCATTCACTATATCCGCTCTCCCCGGACCCCGCATTCACTATATCCGCTCTCCCCGGACCCCGCATTCACTATATCCGCTCTCCCCGGACCCCCGCATTCACTATATCCAGTCTCCCCCGGACCCTGCATTCACTATATCCGCTCCCCCCGGACCCCGCATTCACTATATCCGCTCTCCCCAGACCCCGCATTCACTATATCCGCTCTTCCCGGTCCCTGCATTCACTATATCCACTCTCCCCGGACCCTCCATTCACTATATCCGCTCTCCCCGAACCCCGCATTCACTATATCCTCTCTCCCCGAACCCCGCATTCACTATATCCGCTCTCCCCGGACCCCTGCATTCACTATATCCGCTCTCCCCAGACCCCGCATTCACTATATCCGCTGTCCCCGGACCCCGCATTTACTATATCCGCTCTCCCCGGACCCCGCATTCACTATATCCGCTCTCCTCGGACCACGCATTTACTATATCCGCTCTCCCCGGACCCTGCATTCACTATATCCGCTGTCCCCGACCCCGCATTTACTATATCCGCTCTCCCCGGACCCTGCATTCACTATATCCGCTCTCCTCGGACCACGCATTTACTATATCCGCTCTCCCCAGACCCCGCATTCACTATATCTGGTCTCCCCGGACCCTGCATTCACTATATCTGCTCTCCCCCAGACCCCGCATTCACTATATCCGCTCTCCCCAGACCCTGCATTCACTATATCCGCTCTCCCCCGGACCCCGCATTCACTATATCCGCTCTCCCCGGACCCTGCATTCACTATATCTGCTCTCCCCCAGACCCTGCATTCACTATATCCGCTCTCCCCGGACCCTGCATTCACTATATCCGCTCTCCCCGGACCCCGCATTCACTATATCCGCTCTCCCACAGTACACGCAGCATGGAAATGCAATTATTTTAGTAAATATAAACTGCTAAATACATTTTCTCATCAGCAATTAGAGCAGTCATGTGACTTCTATCAGTGTCCAGCTGAGCACTGGTTAAAGCTTGTAAGAAGAGTTTGTTTTCTGCTCTGGGAGGATGCAGAACCCCTGACCTCTGTCTGGACAGTGCTGATTGGCCCTGTGCTGATCACATGCACTCTCCCAAGGAAAAAAACTCTCTAGAAATGCACATCAAACCGAGCATGTGTCTCCTCACGATATGTCTTATCAGGAGATAGGAGGGGGACACTGGAAGAAGGGGAGGATCAAAGAAGACAGGATCAAACAGTATTTTAACACAATGCAGAGGATTAACCCCTTAGGTTCAACAGTGGGTGTATCAAGCATCCTTTACTGCATCTACAGACTTTTATCTATCTATCTATCTATCTATCTATCTATCTATTATCTATCTATCTATCTATCTATCTATCTATCTATCTATCTATCTATCTATTATCTATCTATCTATCTATCTATCTATCTATCTGTCTGTCTATCAGCTCTGTAACCATTAATACATCATTAAAGGCTTTTTTTTTATACTACAAGCAGTATAAATACCTAACTATGACCTGGTATCAGCCACTTGCAGTTCCTGTACAGCAGAGCCGGTGTATAGGAGGAAGAAGCAGAGCAAGGATATCAATCAGTTCATTTGCTGACAACAAGCATGCTGATAGGAGAAGAGAGCAGAGTGACAGAGAGATGAGCTCCTTACTGTGATGCTTCCTCTTTTACTATCCAAACACAGACTAGTAGGAGGATCTGGGCCAACCTGGGCTCAGAGTGAGTAGAATGATGGCATCAGATTGAGGGTATCTAGTGGCAGAAAAAATTACTGAGGGGGAAATCTTTGGATTGAAGTTGAATATTGCAGCAAAAAAAAAGAATTTTATCTTTTAATCCTTTGGCTGCCACTGGCATATGGATGCTACAGAAGCCAGGAATGCATGCAAAATTCACAAGCCAGTGGAATATGGGAACCCGAATCATGTATCCCAGCTACGCTGTCCCAACTGTGGTGGGTGTCACAGGGCAGAAGGGAAACAGAGAAGCTAACGTCCGTTCCCTGATCTCCTCTAGCTAGTAAGAGCCCAGGAGTGCTAGGTATTACATCACTTCTGGTTTTGGGTGTCACTCTCCTTAGCTGCTGTGATCAGGAAAGAAGCTAATAAAACACAATCTGCACTCCATTAGCTTTAGTGAAGTACAAGGGAGACATCAGATCTCTGATTAAAGAGAATCTGTCTCTATCAATATGTTATAACACAGGGACCATTGGTCCCCATAGCAGGTTCAGGACAAACCAGGTTCAAAGCAAGATCATACAAGGAATTGTCTAGGGTGCTCTCCAGCATTCCAGGCGGTTCGGCAAGAAGAGACGTTGCCAGACACAGCAGAATTCACTGGTTCAGATCCAGGCCACCGACACTCATTGAAACTGAAGAAGTGCTTGGAGAAGCTATGAAACATGTTAATCATTACCGGGATGGACTGACCATTTGGAAACTTGGGCACACGGGATCAGTAGGGGGCCCCATGAGATGCCCCTGGTACCTTTTTCATAGGCTTTTTTGAGTTTGGGCAAGGACACAGGGGCCCCATGATCCCCTATTGCCCGGGGGCCCCATGAGTTGTCAGTCCGCCCCTGATCATTACAGAACATGCTTTTTGAAGCCACACTGGTACCCAGTAGGACTATGATGATAATTATTTTGACAGTATGAAGAAGTGGCTAGAAGAAGTTATGAAATATGTTCCGGTTGTCCTCTGTCCAAAATGTGCACCTCACTGTATTCGAAAGACTCCCTGACACCAAGGATGGGATTATGTAACTAGAACAAGGTGTTTCCACAACCCTCACACCTTGTTGATGAATGGTGATTTGATTAAGGTGTCTGTGATACCTGTGTGGCTATAAATGTTGGGGCATGTTCATAATAGTCATTAGAAATGAAGAAGTGGCTTGGAGAAGTATCGAAAATCCTTCAACATCACAGAAAAAGTCCAATTGAATGTGACTACATACTACTAGATATACCATGATCTGGATTAATGAGATCCTTCACAGACATAGGAAGAGCTTGGTTTAACTTTACATATTGATAGCTTGGAACAGAATAGCTGAAAGTAAATCATAAGGATTTTATCCTATGTATTGCTATAGAAACGTCAAATCACAAATACACAAGCTAGCTACAACTAGTGAGGTTTTTGCTGTATTTTTTTGTACAATTAAACCATGGAAATGAGGTATAGCTACTGACAATGTTACCCTCGTGTCATCTGATTCATTAAAATGATTTCTCTACCTTGATTTCAGATTCAGTAATGAAGAGAATCCTGGCTTTGTTAATTAATCACAGATCTATAGGGGTATATATCAGGGCTCTGTGTTAGGCAGAGGTGTTAGGAGACCTGGCACCCCTGCCAGTACCTTGCATAGCCGCAGAAGTTCACATGGGCTCAAATTTGGCACCAAACGGCCTTTATAAGGAAGCCCTGCACTACTCTCAGGTGTTGGTTGATCTCTGGCTCCCTAGTACCTTCATTCCAGAGGTGGACTGACAACTCATGGGGCCCCCGGGGAATAGGGGATCATGGGGCCCCTGTGTCCTTGCCCACACTCAAACCACATCCAAAAAAGCCTATGAAAGGTACCAGGGGCATCTCATGGGGCCCCCTTATGACCCCGGGCCCTCGGGCAATGCCCGAGTTCCCAAATGGTCAGTCCGCCCCTGCTTCATTCCCTTGCTATCCTGACTTGTGATTTCCTGTTAACGACTCGGCTTGCTCCTGGACCTATCTGCTCTGTTTAACCCCGACTTGACCCCGGCTTGTCTACGGATCTTCTCTCCTTGTCAGGGTCCTGTCCACGGCAGAGGTTCTGGAAGATCTGGCACTTCTGCCAGTACTCTACAGAAGTACACATCAGACTCAGTCTGGTGCCAGACAGCCTTTATAAGGAGGCTCATCACTTCCTCTGGTTTCTGGATGATCTCTAGCTCCCCATGCCTTGTTCCTGTTTCCTGTTTCCTGTGATTCTGACTTGTGATTTCCTGTTACCGACTCGGCTTGCTCCTGGACCTGTCTACTCTGCCTTACCCCTGATCTGACCTCTGCTTGGCTTACAGATACTCTCTCTCTGACTCCTCTGTGTATGACCTCGGCTATCCCATCTGACTACGTCCGCTCTGATTCCCACCTGGTACCTGACCTTGGCTTGAACCGACTACCCAGTAAATATCCAAATCCCGGAAGGACTTGCATACCACTCACAGGCGCCTCCTGTCTGCAGACCTATCTCCAGCTGTGCTTCTGAGTGGACCACCAACCAGCACGCCTACAGGAAACCTGTGCAACTTTGGGCCACACTCCCGCTGTCCCACTCTCAGGGGAGTCCGGAACTTAGCCACAAGGGAAGCCCTCTCTCCATTAGCCTCCATCACCAGGTACGTGATACTCCTGCTCTCTGTGTATGAGCTCGGCTGTTCCTTTTGACTACGTCTGCTCCGAACCCCACCTGGCACCCGACCTTGGCTCGAACTGGTTATCCTGAGATCCACTGTTCTCTGGAAGATCTGCATACCTCGCACAGGCGCCCCCTGCCTGCAGACCCCATCTCAGTGCATCAGCTGTGCTGCTGGGTGGACCACCAAACAAGCACTCCTACAGGCGACCTGTGCTACTCTGGGCCTGACTCCTGCTGTCCCACCTTCAGGGGAATCTGAAACTTACCTGCAGGGGAAGCCCTCTCTCCATTGGCCTCTATCACCAGGTACGTGATAGTATAACAAGGATTTCAATTGCAGGACACCATGCAAAGCCGTATGTAATGGAAGTAAAAGCAGCCCAAGCAAACTCCAACCAAGCCACGTCACCGATGCATTTTGCCTCGCCCTGGGGATGTAATCCTCTATGATTAGGCCCTGGGGAATGGCGAAACGTGTTGGGAACGAGGCTTAGTCAGAGTTTGCTGGGTTTACTTCAATTACATATGGCTATGCATGATGTGCAGCAACTGAAATCTTTCTTATGCTCCTATAGTATGCAAAGAGTTAGGACAAACTCCTTCTAGCCTGCACCCAGCAGGATTCACCAAACACGGCACATAGAGCCTGAGCAGAGACCCTAAGCTTTCCTAATCAAAGATCTAGTTCCATACCCCTCCTCATTTGGTTCCCATGCTCCCAAAAGGTATGGATAACCCCCCTTCCCCATTGGGATTATATTAGGATTTGATAGAGTTGGAGGTTGCAAAGGTTGAGATCAATGTTCTAAATTTTGCAATAAGGGCCATGGGTCTCCCGTCACAACAATTTTAACTTTTTCTATCGGTTTCAAAGGAAATAAATCTTCCTTGGCTTCCTAAAACACAACCCCAGTCCAAACTTTTTCTTTTGCTTGGCTAGAGTGGGGAAGGCATAAAACATCTGTTTCTAATGCTGTCTGTGGGGAGATTTCCCCTCACTTCCTGTCTATTTGACCATTGTTAGACATTACAGGAAGTGAGGATGATCTCTCCAACACAGGCATCAATACCACCCCCTATTATTTTTTTGATTAAGCGGGAAAGAACCTCAGACTGTTTTTTTTTGCCATCTTTACACACTGTGGAGTTTGCACAAATTGGTTGGTGTCAGTAAGGAAATGAGGGTAAACCTTCCCAAAAGTCTAATGAGAGCACCGGACCAAATATTCTGTAAAAATACCTTTAATATTAGTGTTTGCTCATAAGACAACCGGGAACAGCCAACACGTTTCTAGGCTCCAGACACTCCCCTTTCATCAGGGCTTCTTTTTCCTCTTTAGACAAGTTTGTCTTGAATGTTCTTGCCTGAAGATGATCTGAATTGTGGAGCTTTATCAGGAAATGCAATTGCTGAGTGCCAGGCAGACTGCAAACTGTATTTTTCCTGGCAAAGTTCCACAAAGCAGATCACCCTTAGGCAAGAATGTTCATGAAAAACCCATCAAAAAAAGGAAAGAGAAGCACTAACGAAGGAGTGTCAGAACCCCTCCCCTGAAACAAGTTGGATGTTCCATGTTGTCTTGCTATGACCAAACACTAATTTTAAGGATTTTGGACTCTTAGATCTTTGGTCTGGTGCGTCCATTGGTGCTCCAAACTTTTTTACACATGAATCCTAGCCTCTTGCCTCCCATGTAATGCATGTGTTGCAGTGAAAAAGAAAGTAGGCCTTAACGTCCACATGCTGCACATATACGTCAATGGGTGGCTGAGGTATACTATATGGAGGCGCCGCACACCATCAGCCCAATGTGTATCAAATAGTGAAGAGCAGCCTCAGGTTCAGCTCCTCCTGAGACAATTCCCCCTGATGCTTTTTGCCCTATGACTAAGCCCTGGAAGCAGGACAACATGCATCAGAGGGCATGGGCATGGTCCCAGGAAGGGCTGAGGCAGGGGCGGACTGACCATTTGGAAACTCGGGCACTGCCCGAGGGCCTGGGGTCAGTATAGGGCTCCATGAGATGCCCCTGGTACCTTTTTCATAGGCTTTTTTCAAGTTTGGGCAAGGACACAGGGGCCCCATGATCCCCTATTGCCCAGGGGCCCCATGAGTTGTCAATCCGCCCCTGAGCTGAGGCCACTCTTTAACATTTGATACACATTGAGCTGACAGTGTGTGGCACCTCCATATAGTATACTTCATTAGGCTGCTGGAATGAGCATTTTAGACACCAGCATACCCTTCGGTTGTGGATTGCTTGAGCAGCATCTCTTGGCACTTAGAGTGGCAATCCAAACAAGTTCCTACAGGTCACAGTGAATGGGCAGCTGAGGTTTCTTGTTCAAACATTTTATTGCTTTTTAAAGTTCTGTGACATACGTAAGACATTCAAAATACATTCACAAAGAAGAATAACATGAAGCAATGAGGCCATTTGAAAATGTCATACATATACAGACAGTAAGGAACCATACGTGAGCAGAAAGGGGTAATGCAATGAAAACGGGGGCGAAACATAGTTATAAACAAACCTGGGAGTACTGCTCCCAGAAGTTATGTGCGGGTTCCTTGAAGAGCGTAAGAAGATGAAGTGGCAACCGTGAGAAGGGAAAGAGTAAGAAAAGAGGAGCAAGGGGAGGAATCTCGGGACCAGACCAGGGTCAAGGATGGTATATAGGACTACCAAAAGATGGAGTTGGGGAGTATTAGGGAAGGAGCAATGACTCGTCAAAATTCAGAGGAAGGAAGCGTTCCACCCAGGGGCCCAAACTGACAAAAATTTGGGAACACAGCTGAGGTTTCTTTGTCGTCTGCTCCCAGCACAGTGACCAAGCTGTCAAAGACAGTAAAGATAGTAATGATTGGGAGCCTGCGGCACCGGCTTCCAATCATGTGATCACTGTCATGATAGGGCAGACCTTCCTGCCCCCCAGGAGTGATAACCCAGTTAAAGGGACACCAGGGCTGGATAAACATTGGGGCCTCCAGACAAGAGCCTCCCCAGTTTTGTGGAAAGCGGCCTTACCAGAGCTACTGCCCTCCACATAAACTCGATTGACTTTCTTCAACCACGAACTACTAATAAATCAAATCCAGCACCTCAAATACGCATGTTCCAGCAAAACAATCCCAACAGAGGTTCTAACCCTTCCACACTACCTAAAACTAAAAAAAAAAAAAAGTTTGTATAGGCCTGGGCTATAACAGTGCCCATCAGTTACTGGACTGGATAGACTGAATCTTAAATTATAATGTACATGAATTTGTCCAATCCTGCTTTA